TCTCACAAACAACTTTAAGAACAATTCGACGTTTGGTATATTGTAAACATTAAACAGTACATTCAACAACCGATTTCTTTGACAAGACTAAGTTTTTAGTTTAGTGTGCTATATTACAGCATGTTTCGTCGGAAAAATCACTAAAAAGTAGATTTCGCAATTTGTACCATGTGTGGCGCTATTCAGCGCTAGTGCGCTATGAACTCTGGGATAGTCAGTGGCGGTCACGACCTGGCAGCCATTTCGACCGGGTTAGGAATCATATCTATAGAAATAGTCAAAATCAAGGTACGTTGAGTATATGTGTATATATTTTCGGAGCAACCTGCACGTAATAGTTGTTCTGATAACAGACAACAGTATTGTTTGCTGTAACGCATTGAAACCGAGTTCCTAGTTGCGTATGCCTCTACAACCACCAACGGTTGTACGTGTGTAAAACAATCCAAACTATATTCTGTTTGCAGTTGTATAAATACACAACAAATGTTTTGATAAAAGTTGACATCTGCTTATTTCCAAATATGGATGGAAATTATCCTTTTGATTGCATGACAAAATGTGTAATTTTGTTTTAAGACAAGGTAATTATATCACCATTCGCACGATTACAGATCCCTGCTGACTTTTTAGTGGTTAAGCAGACGCAGTTGAGATCCTTTCCCTTTCCTTCCCGGGATATAAAACTCGCCGCCCGTGGTCCCATCCACCCCCCATCACACAAACATACTCACTCGCTTAAATCGTTGAGTAGGCAACATTGAATGAACATGAAAAAAAATACATAAATCAGGGAATTAAAAAAAAAATCAGTTGTCATTTGATTTTATTGAAAAATCTTACCCATTTGGATTTCTACCTGCTTTGTCATAACTGTTATCCGACGTAGGTAAAAACAGCAGAAGGAATAAAGTACAGTTCACTGAAGTCATTAATATAAGGGGTTATCCTGACCTTAATGCAAATTATAACAGTTTATTGTAATGCAAGAGTATATCATTAAATGTATTTATATATGCTCCTAAAATCACTAATACTTGTCTCTGTCCAATAGACCATTTCCCGTTCACTGCGAGAATCGCGCGTTATGCGTGAAATCGAACGTAAAAACAGGACAAACAAAGGTCATAGCGTCGTGGTGGCATCAAACATCGCATGGGATTTGACAAACGCAAAAATATTTTTTGGGGCATTTCCATGCTTAATAATGTGCTGTACACATTTGATGATAGACAATTTCGAAGTGAGTGCATTCGAAAGCAATTCCTCTGTCGAAGATCGACCGGTGGATGTGAGTTACGAAATAAAGAAATTCGAGTTCAAAATCAAATCGTTTGATTTTTGCGGCAGACGTACAACGCTTGTCTTTCATGCATCTTGCGAGATCTCGGAAAATCACCTATCAGCCTGTACTATACAGTGTATAGTGCAGGGTGTACACTACATGTATGTGCAAGAGAACAAAGTAGCAACACAATCAATTAATCAATATCAATCAATCGATCAAACATAAACATTTATAAAGCACCTGCATCCAAAACTAAGTTCTGTTCAAAGACCCAGATGGAGTTATTTTACACTGTAGGCTTTGTTGAATAAATAAGTTGACATCAGTGATTTGATGCATGTCGAATAGAAGGGATGTTTCAAAGTTGAGGACCAGCATTTGAAAGGACACGTCCCCCATATGTTTTCAATTTATATTTGGTGGTGCAAAGAAGGTTCTTATTAGATGAACGAAGATACAACAGGGTACATGTAAATGAAGGAGATCAAAGAGACACAAATGTGGTTTAGAACAAGGTGGTTCAAAGCTCTAAACGTTAACAGAATAATTTTGTACTCAATTATGTGACGAACGGAAAGCCAATGCAGTCTTGTAAAACTGGGATTATATGCTCTGATCTAGTATGGGTATGATTCAAGCAGCCGTTACAGTGTTCTCCCCAGCATTCATTCAAAGAAATACGTAGCTATCAGGGATCTTGCTTCCGACCAGGACTATTGTCCGACGTACTGACCGACACGCATCCTGCCAGTCGTGGATTATAATTTGTAAACAATAGACGTAGTCGCACGATGTGGTAGTGGCTTATAAACAATACAAACTCTTCTTTCAAGAATTCTTTTACCTTTTAAAAATTTCTAATCACCTCTCTCGAAAACCATCATGCAGTTTTCATCTGAAATTCATACCAACACATCGTGCTACGACATCGCTTTACTTCCGCAATGTAATTTTTATGATCACTACCATTCGGAAAACTTCGGGTTCTGCCGGCATTACCATGCGGTATTCTGATTGGTTAATGGCATATTTGACCCACCGGGTCAAAGGACACATGCGGTCAACTAACCCGTCACAGCTATCATGGCGGGTCTGTGTTTTTCACGAAGTGATCGAGTGATCAAAAATAATTTCTCCCGATAAAACTAGTTCAAATTTTATGTTTTTCTCATATAAAAAAAGAAGTATTTAATTTTTGCATGGCATCATGACCGAGTAAGAGGAATTATTGGTATAACCGGTGTATAACATCGCGAAGTAAGTTATGTCACGTCGTAATTTTGATGATCGTTTGAAAGTGTTATTTGTTCGTTGTAGAAGCTGATCGTCAGAATAATAACTAGCAATTCGCCAAATAATTACGAATTTTGTAGTAAATAAGATCATGAAAGTCGTGAACATAATCCTGGCTCAAACGTTTCAAATTAGTTTCAATTTAACCTTTTACAATTTATTTGTTTCTTTTTAGTCTGCAGCATTTGCATTTCGGGAATGTTAAATTTTTAAATTCAAACTCTTCTAAATTGTGAAACGTAATATATTTTGACTCCAAAAAGAAATGTATTTGCACTGTGACGGAGCTCATTAATATTACAAAAGTGCCCAAAATAAGTGTTTATAACACTGTGTGAAGGAAATAAATATATGCTACTTTCTTTTTAAAATGTATGTTGTTTATTGTGTGGGTGTAAATATGCTTTGGTCAATTTCTATTATTATGTAAATGATATACAAATTATATGCAAATTAGGCTGCCACAGTGTTTTAAATTCCTGGGGAGAACACTGCCGTTATTTGTTTTTTTTAAAGTATATTAATTCTATTTTCTGGAAGTCCAAATAAAAGTGAATTCCCATAATCAAATTTGGCAGAGCGTATTGCATGAATTAAAGTAAGGTTGTTGCACCACGTCGTGTTCTATATGGGACCAATAGCAACGTATACAACACTTACACACATAATATATTGTTTGACTGTAACATTTTATTTTTTGCTGATAATAAAATGCACTTGATTTAAACCCAGAGTTATGAGGAAATCAGGATTGTCATTGCATATTACAGCATATGACACGGTAGGAGTGTGTACAAATTTCTCAGCAGTTGCTGGCTTGTTAGCTGTTGTATGTATCTGGTACTGTCACTTATGTCTGGGCTTCGAATACGAAGGCAACATTCAGCACCATCAATGTGGTGAAACCCATTGACGGTGCTGAACGTGATGATGCATATATGAAACGCCGGAGTCAAGTATATTCAGATTTGACTAGTAAACTGGTCACCAAATTTAACAACTGCTATCTTGTTTTACAATACAATCTTAAATGAGCTTTGACAAGCCGAAATAGATCTTGATTGCATACAGCGCCACCAGTGGCTGTTCCTGGCTCCATGCGTCCAGTAAATAAAAGTTATCCAGAGATGTATTGTTTCATAAATAAACTACTAAATTTAAAATAAAATGAATATGCCTGCAGCATCAATCTGCTAAAATTAATTAAACCTAGTGAACATTTCACAGTATCAGGCAACCACAGTCAACTACTGATATCTAGGCCACTATTCTAGTTTGAATTTCTGTCAACATATTAATATATCAGAATTTGTTTTGGCTTGTGTGAATCACTTCATGCTTAAACAGAAATTCACTATAAATTGCTTTGTTTTGTAGCAAGATGCCACTTTTCACCATACCCAAGATGGAGTGGGATAAAAAGCTAGCTGGCCACAACCTGAATATGAAATATTTTATGGTCAATGGTTTACCTAGGCAGAAATGCGCAGGGTTTGAGATGGATTGGCTTCGATGCGCTGACGGTCTTGGACAGAAAAAAGCCTTTGTTGAATGCGACCAGGAATATGCTGACTTTATTGAATGTGGAACTGATGCAAAAAAGGTGAGATGTTTCAAGTTTTATCACATGACCACAGTGCATATTATTCATAGTTGTGATGTTTTGTGTGAACTACAGGCTTTTAGCCAGCCACCTGTCAACCTGTTATCTTAGACAGGTAAAAAATGTCAGCTAAATTTTCACTAACCTTTCCACAAAAAATATGTTACACATCTGTGACTACTGTAAAATCTGTAGGAGAAACCGTGGTTCCTATTAAAATTGTACAATGCAACAGAGGGGATGCGGCTTCTACTAGAGCATCTACACATATGAGAAATGATGAATTTTTGGTTCTCAATTATTCAAACAGAATGGGTGCGACTTCTATTAGAAATGCGGCTTCTAATACAGATTTTTCGGTACTGACTATTCTCTTTCATTTCAATACAGTTTTATTTTACATTTTTCACATTTTATTTTCCTGTTATAACAATGACAAACTATGCAAGATAACTTTTTATATTTGGAAGGTGATCTTGCATGTGTTTTCATTGTATTTGTGGCTTCAGCTATTGGGTGTCGCGGAGATTTGCGATTTGCCGCAGAGCTTGAATAAATGTTTAAGTAAATCAGATTTGATGACATCATGGTGGTTTAATGTATCATAATATTATGAAAATTGCAGATCGAATAACAATGTCATTGCGCTATGTTGTACTTATAAATATAGGTTATAATTTGCTGGTTTTCTCACCGACTGAAAATTCAAATTTGACCAAATGCTTGAAGGGCAGTGGTTGTCACACTGGGCCCTATTTTTATATGGTTTCTATAGTAACCCATATAGTGGATGTAAAATACATTGTTCAATTGCATAAAATTCATAAAAGATGTGATGCATGACAATCTCTTAATTAATGAATTAATTAATTAACTTTAATAGTCTAGTACATGTATGTTAAAATTATAATTTCTTTGTTTTTTTTGACACTCATGATGAAAAGATTATAAGGTCATTGTGTTTCAATTCCCACATTTGAAGTGAGTAAAATCTAAGAACATTATATTTGAGGAAATGATACAAATCCACTATGTTACAAAGTATCAATTCATAAAACATGTTTGATGCAAGCCAATTTTTACTGGTAATTTTGTTACATTGTATTTGAAATGTATTTATACTGTGGTCATTTTTTAATGTAGCAATGATGTCAAAACAACATGTATAACCAAACTTATCAAAAACTGGTTGATACGTGTACTTATGGCATCATGGGCTGTATTATTTCCTCGCCTTCAATTTTCTAATAATACAGCCGGTGACACGCACAAGACCCAACTACACTGTGGCTCTAAGAATAAATGAAATTAACGGAAATCTGACAGTATTTATCTGTATTTTATAATGAAAGTCCCTGACATGTGAAGTAATACAATGTATTATACATTTAACAGCAAAAAACATTCATATACTAGCAACCACATTCACAATCTAGCGAATATACCTTTATTCCTATATTTTACATTCAGCTCGCCAAAAAATCTATGAAAATAAATTTCATACAAAACACTCCAGCTAAAATAAAGTATTTTACAGTATCTGTAAAATGCTGTATGAACATGTTACATGAACATGATAGTGTTACAGACGTGTTCCTCGCATCTTCGAATGTCTTCATCTTTTGTAAAATGTGCATATTTACATTAGAACAATTTTTTTGTTTACATCGCATGCAGCAATAAAGTAAAAGGTGACTGAAATATCAAATTATAACAAAACAGAGAAAATTTGTCACTATAATAGTGCAAAGTATGCATTCAGGCAGTGCAGGAATCCATCAACCTCCACTATGAATCATGTGCATACTTTGTCTTATTCTGTATGTTAATAAGGTTATCATGAGAATACTGCAAAGTATGCATTCAGGCAGTACAGGATGGCATCAACCTTAGATACACATTTTTTTTTAAATGTTCTTGTACCAGGTGACAGTTTCGGACATTGAATGTCGCATTCGTTGGTAAATGAATCTTGGCCAGTGGAATTGGCCTTCCCATTGAGCATGTTGCACACTCACCCACGGGTAGGGGTCGACCCTTTTTTGATGTTCAGTCTAAGATTGGATTTGAACTTGGGTCTACTGATCATGAGTCTGATGCGACAACCACTATGCTACCAGTGATCATTGATACACGTTGGTTGATACAATCACCATACTGCTTTCATGCATACTGGTACTCTTTGATATTTTCACAATAAATCAAATACATGTATGTACCAAATGCAACTGTTACAGTTTTCACAAAATATTAAACTTGGTCGGAAGCTTTTTGACAATAACCGAAAATTTTCAATCATTCTTTTGTAAATTGGTCAATGTTCATAATGTAACTGACACCCCTGTTTTTTCTTCTTTTTTTACCAGAGAGAAAGACTTTTAGCTATACGAAAACAGAGAGATAAATTGGTAAAAGAAGGAAAATATGATAAAAATCACCACCCCAGTTTGTGAATATTAACCAAGAGTTCAAATATAGATTATCGATAGAATTTTCACTTTTCTTTCAGTTCTCTTCTGAGCATCGAAGATGTTCTATTTGCAGTTGACCCATGTGATGTCTTTTATATAGGTACCACATATTTCATTCAATATGTCACTATTTCAACAAGAAATCTATCGTATAATTAACATGTTGGAAATTTAGCTAAATTCAAGGTTCTGTTGACCAATTCATTGAGCCAAATTTGCTAAAATGAGTGTTTCACTGTAATTTATAGGTATTTGTTTCAGTATATCAATGCCAACATTAGACTGATTTTGCATAGAATTGCATGCTTTGTTTCTTTCTGTGCAAGCCAGCTTGGGTTATTAAGGAATAAATACCAAGTTTAATAATAAATCATACTTTTGTATTTATTGACAGCTTCAATGACTTGTTATGTCTGGATTGAGTGATTTGATGTTTTCACAATGCATTGAATGAGTGATATGGTTCATGGCTGACAAGTACATTACACAACATATTGTAAAACATGTTGAAAAAGCGACATGCAATTTTAGCGAATCTTACTTGTCATTGTTGATTTCCTGTTTTCGCAATACTTGTCTGTCGCCTGCCAAAACAAACGTGCAGTTATCATCTCCATAAAAACAAAGAAAAACTGTCAAGTGTAATTAGGAAGCGCTTCAGATTTTTATGCTCCAGATTACTGTATACAAAGCCTTGGCCATTTTGAATTTATAATAAAGTCATTAGCGACATCTTGAATTAGGGAATCAGTTCTCTCGCTAAAAAGAGGTTCTCGCGAAAGACATGTTTTACAGTACATATAGTCAATTCAGTATTAAGAGAAATTTATAAAACTCGTAAAGATATACATGAAGGGAGCATATCCTGCTCTACATCATATGGCTCCCCACCATATATCTTTCTGTTAGTAATCTTAGATGTACACCAGACAAGTGACATTGATGCCATCTGAGATCATTCGTATAACTAGGATTTTTTCTAAACCAAGGAACAGGGGCACAGCACCCTGATACTCTCGGCTGGCGCCCTCTTACTGAATTGATTGAACTTTCAAGTCATAAATATATTTCTTGAGCCGCGCACTTCTGTGCTGCCGTACAACATGAAATCTTTCTCAAATATATTTTTCTCCGTGAAAACTTCTCAGTAACACCAGCTGACAATGTGTATGGACACCAAATACACTAAAATTACTCCAAAAATATTTCAATGGCGATAGATGCACCATTACAACTACGCAGAAACCTTCCAATATAGCGTTTCCAGATCGATCGTCTGTGTGCTCCCTTTTGATTATTTTTTCTAGAAAAAAACCTGGTGTAACAGTGTTATTATATTGAACCACCAGTTCAAATAACTTTTCAATGTTAAAGTGTAAGTCAAGGCGCTACTTATTACTGTTTTTTACTTACTAATAAACATGCTGATTTAAAGTGTGAGTGTTAAAATTTCTCATTCTTATATATGTGTCTATGGCAGAGGTATTAGAATTTGGATTAGAACCCTACGCATTCCAGCCTGAATACCGTAGATTCTTGTTTTGATGTTACTCTAATATAGGTATCAGAGAAAAGTGAAAGGCCTTATAACTTGGTTCCAAGATAAGCGTCACGAAAAAAAAAGCTCAAGATGAAAAAAAAGAATACTCAGTATATTTAATGTAATATGCATTTTTTTTTTAAATTTTCTTGGTAACGTAAAGTATATTCTAAAAGAAGTTTTAAATAAAAACACACAAACGCATTGCTAAGTACTAGCAAATGATCACGGTAGCATAATCCAGTCATGCTAGTTTCACAACCAGTCGAAATGTTGGATTGTGCCAACGTGTTCAGATTATAATAGCTCTATTTAATATGTTAATGACAGTTCAGCGACTTCATGGCAAACGCAACACGGAAGAGATTTACCGATGTTGCAGTATGATCTTTTGGCTTTGATTTTGATGGGAAAACGGCTGATTTTGATGGGAAAACAGTTGTTTTCGAAAGTTAAACTGAGCATTGAAGAATATTTTTTTATATTTTGTTATGGTGATAACAGCTCATTGTCGAAACGTTTTTATTTAGAATGATAGTGATGTACGTAGCCCTTGGGAGGCATGTATCCCTTCGAATTCGACACGTACACAATTTTCAACAGCAACAAATCCATTTTAATTAACAGCACATGCATATTCGGCAACTATAAAAAATCGTAACATTGTCCTTCCCTTTAAGGTTAGTCGTTCTCTGCAAAACCATTGCTTTAATAATTTAGATAGACTGGCGCAGTCGGGGCGATTAATTTGTTTTTGTAGTTTAAATAAAATAAAAAAAATCGCGAAATGGAGGTGTTAGCGCGAAATTCCCATTTCGCGAATTTTTTAATATTATTTAAACTACAAAAGCAAATTAATCGCCTCGGCTGTGCCAGTCTATATTATTTAAACTACAAAAACAAATTAATCGCCTCGGCTGTGCCAGTCTATAATTTAGATGAAAGAAGACAATGTTGTTTTGAAATTCCTCTAACTGCTAGTAGCCGATTTTGAATACTCGATTTTCAGAATTCTCAGGGCATCAGGAAAGAACGGAAAACTCTAACATATTCAGTTAGGTTGATTTATAATATGTTCAACTACCGCAAGTACTCATTGGGTCGCCTATGTCACAGTATTGCCATCTGACAGCAGGATCAATTGTATAACACCACGGCATTACTACAGGTTCAGGATTCCTGCAATAGTTGTGATCTCCCAATCCACCATTGGGATAATTCGCAACAGTTCTGTCATGAGAATGGGGAGACTGGACTGTCCATTTTTGACAAACTTTGCCATGTTCTGTAGTTGAAAGTTTTCCTCTGTAGTCACTCCCATCGGCTTTTGTGTAACATTCTGAAATAAATAATTGTATATCAAAATTTAAAAAATAAACTGAAATTTCACTTGTGTTACCAAAACAAAATGGAAATATACCTTTATATTGTATGTCTTGCATATATTTTGAGCTTGTACATAAATATACTGAATATAAATAACATATCATGATACGTAATGTTTTATAAAACATTATTTTTGGTGTAATAATTATGAAATTTTCTTTGAAAAAGGCAATGACGTGTTACTCGGGTAGCTTGGTACAATGTGTAGATGAAAATTATTATTTTTTTAAGATTGCTGGAACCCATAGGCACACACACACATGTATAACAAACCAAGCAACATAAGATGCAATAATAATCAAAGTTGAACACGCGAAGAAAGTAAAGAGAATCCGTCTAGAAACTATATATTAAATTAAACTATAATAGTCGCAAGTTTTTAGCCACGGACATTTTTGGTATATTTTCGTGATTATTTTGTAAATAATGGGAAATTTTCAATCAAAATTGGACAAGTTTGTGAAAATTAGGCCTGTCAATTTCGCAAAGGAAGAAAACAATCGACTATTAGCGGGTGCGTTGGATCCTGCATATCGCAAATTGGTATGTAAGAAGATTTGAGAGTGATAGTATACATACCAATACTGTATGTCTTAATTAGGTCATAGATCACACGTTGTTGTTCCGACGTCTCCGGACAATTGTCACTGCCATCAATACATGATCTAGTACGACATTGCTTATGGTCAATGTTACAGTTTTGAGACCAAGAGGACCACACATCCCACTCACCGTCTAACATAGTATATAATCAAACATAAACAAAATGATAGGTAATAATATCAAGTTGTTCAAGTGGCATTGTTACGTAGGCATTATATAAATTAAACCAACTCACTGGGTAGTCCTGTACAACATATACACATCAACAGCCGTCATTGGTGTTCGAGAGGTATATAACAATCTTACTCATAATATTAAAATGGTTTGACCAGGAATAAGTTATGCATACTGACAATATATTATATTTAAGTACATTATGATTTAGTGTAGACATATTGTATGCGTTTCCGTTCCCTTCATTCACTAATTCCAATTTTATACCGCAGTGAACAAATGGTTCATTATTATGCGTGTGTAGACAACTTTCATACCATGAAAACACTTTGTAACGTGATTAAGAAAGCGGCCAGTGACGGAATAGGTGATTTTCCGTACAATTACGAGATCTCGCGAGATGCAAGAAAAACGCGCGTCGAACGTCTGCCGCAAAAATCGAACGATTTGATTTTGAACTAGAATTTCTTTATTTCGTAGCTTACATTGACCGGCCGATCTTCGACAGAGGAATATTGCTTCCGAATACCCTTACTTAATCGAAATTGCCTATCATCAAATGTGGACTGACAGCACATTATTAAGCATGGAAATGTCCCCGAAATACTTTCGCGTTTGTCGAATCCCACGCGATGTTTGACGCCACTACGACGCTATGACCTTTGTTTGTCCTGTTTTTACGTTCGATTTCACGCATAACGCGTGATTCTCGCAGTGAACGGAAAATGGTCTATTAAACTTAGACGCTATATTTTGGTATTTTTGTCACACCATGGTACAACAGGATTTTGCAATCCTATAATTCTGTAATGGGGGGGGGGGGTAACATCTGGATCACCCTGCATTACGTCATTGTAATATTGCCTTAGTAGATTGTTCGAACAAGGACATTACAAAATGAACACTTGATACTCACCATTGAGACACGTAATTCCGGCATATACGTCACGTGTAGCAGGCATTAAATTGATTTCACAATCATTGAGTGTCATCTCTGTCCCTTCACAATTCACAGTACATTGAAAATGACCATGAGTGTCCATGACACTGGATGTCCATACTAAAGTGTGAAATAATGTTGAGAAAGGATAAAAACAGTGATTCTATCAATTAAATTGTTTCCAGATGTTAAAATCTTGCAAACAAGCAACATACTTTTATTCGAACAACTTATATAATATTAACAATCTGACTAAACAGCAATCTGAAATCTGATAATTGCCTTCCTTACGACGACATGGCATATGGGTATATGTCAAATGTGTGTATCTTGTTGTGACATGCCATACGGGTATTAAGTTATATGCCAAATGTATGTGCCCCCTCATGATGCGTCATATGGACATGATGTTATATGTACTGAAAAATATTTTATTTTCGCTTGGAATTTATTTTTAAATTCGCCGAAAAGATGATTCAGCGAATATACCTTTTCCCTTATATATCACATTCAACTAATCAAGAATCAGTGAGAATAAATTCCATACAAAACACCCAAAAAGCCTTTTCAGTGAAAATTAATTCCATACAAAACACCGAAAAAGCCTTTTCAGTGAAAATTAATTCCAGCTAAAATATAGTATTTTACAGTATTTGTTTTTACGATGTACCATATGGACAGTAACTTGTATCTCACATGTATTCGTTTTCTTACGACGTTCCGTGTGAGCATTGAGCTACATGACTGGTATATATGCATTCTTATGATGTGCCATGTGGGCATTGAGCTACATGATTGGTTTATATACATTCTTATGATGTGCCATGTGGACATCATTGAGCTACGTGACAGGTATATATGCATTCTTATGATGTGCCATGTGGACATCATTGAGCTACATGACAGGTATATATGCATTCTTATGATGTGCCATGTGGACATTGAACTACATGACAGGTATATATACATTCTTATGATGTGCCATGTGGACATCATTGAACTATATAA